ATTAGGGTCCAATGCAGCCAACTACACTGCTGAAGTAGAAGAGTTGTATGAAAAAATGCTTGTGAAGCTTGAGAGCTTGGCCAGATCGGTGGAAAAGAGCTCTGCCATAGTTCTTGAGCAGGTAAGAACATAGCTTAAATGAAGAACACATTTCAGGATGCATCCAAGCATTTCATGTGCACTCTTTTCGGTTGTTTTCTCCATATTGATTGCAACTGCTATAGCTTTATTCATAAATGACTGACAGCAGATGTTTTGCTTTTGGCAGGAACAGCATAATTTGAAACTAAGGTGCAAAGTTGCTGGCCTGGAATGAATTTATGCTGTTACATTGCTGTCCAAATCTTGGACATTTCAAGGTGGAATGATCTTCCTTCTAGCTCTTAAGTAGTGGTGTTCTCTGAGTGCATTTTCTGAATTTTATATATTGTGTGGCAAATATACATATGATATTATTTCTGATTTGGGGACTGCTCTATCCTGACAATTTCAGTCCAATGTGTTTTACGGAAAAAAATCTCTGCATAGATCAGTGATCAGGAATATTCTACTTCATCTGCACAAGGTGATAGCATAACATGTTGCTAATGGTATATTTTTTAAATTAATTTTTGGAAGGTGCTGGGTTTAGTCTGAACACATCTATGTTTAGAAAGTGCTCAAGTGGCAATTATTTGTTTGAGGGAGGCAAAGTGGCAAATTGCTGAAGTGGGAATGTTTTTAGAAAAATAAGATCACATGTCGCGACAAATAATTCATACTTACTCCATCTGTCATGAAATTTTGTTGTTTCTCCCATCTGCATAGATATCATAAATATCAACCGCATAATTGTCTTTTCTTAAACTCTGCTTGAAAGAGAACATGAAGTTAAATTAAGTACAGGGGTATATGTGACTTCTTTTGGGTGTAAAATAAGGTTTTGGCAAAAGAACTTAGTTGCTTATCCAGAGTTTCACACTTGTAGCTTATCTGTAAGAAGGAAGACGTTCTCTAGTAAGATTGTGCTTCTATTGCATCCACATTCATCTATGTCATCGATAATTTATCTGAAGTACTTTTTGGGTACTTCCACAATTCCAGCAGGATTATTTTTCTGATCAATATCAATATGAACATTTTAATTTCTTTTTCTTTATTAGTTCTGTGTGTGCATTATGTTTTTTTCCTATTCATTAATTCTTATTATATATTGTCTTCTTTTTTAGTGGCATCCAGTCCTTTTTTAGGCTGTCAAAGTATCTTTGAATATCAAATTCAACCAATTCTTTTATCTTCGTATTGCAGAGAATGGTGACATGTGTCCTTCAAGGACTATTGAACACATTCTTTTTCCATTTGGCTCACCTATTTTGTGTGACCCTTATATATTAATCCAAGCCTTTGTTGTACTAACTTTTTTCTGTTCTGGGTCAGGGAAATTTCTCTTTTGACCTTCAAAATCTACCATACCTCACTCCCTCCTTAGGATATGAGTGACGTGAAAATATGGTGTTGGATGTCATAGTACATCAATTGAACTATTTATAGAGTACTATGCATTATTTGAAGTATTTTCGAAATGCAGTTTAGCTCAATGGGATTGGTTGTCATGATAAGAATAATAAAGATTTAGGTTGTTTTTAGTTAGATTTAAAAGAAAATTAAGTGCTTAACCCAAGTGAAACCTTATTACTTCACAGGTTTGTGTTTTACACAGCTATGACGTTTGCTTTTTGTTCTCTATCTTAAATGTGATTGTTCTTTACCTCTCTTTAATTAATACTTGATTGAATGAATCTAAAATACCACCAACTCTCTTTACTACTTGATGCCTGGTTCTTCTTTACTTATGTGCTGAAGTGTTCCTTAAATGTTTGGTTTTTTTAAAAATGACTTTTAGAACTTAATCCTATAATTACTGGTATAATGAGTTACTAAGTCAAAGTTATTTAAATTTTTTATTTTTATACTTTTCACGTACAAAACAAATTATATGAATTTTTTACATATTATGTATTTGGTACACGAGGCTTCGTCTGTATTTGCCAATATGCATTTTGAAGCTAAAGCAAGATGTCAGAACCTCATTTTAGCCTCTCTAAGTCTCATGCACAAACACATGATAACAAGCTCGACCGATGAATGTAGATGTGTGCGATGGCTAGTTGGCTACTGGTGGCAGGACCGTGTGACAAGGTGAACATTGAATACTTGCTTCCAGCTTCCTACAGAACCTTGGCCGAAGAGTTTACGCCCTTGTCTATTACAAAAGTCACAACATGATACATTTTTACTAGACACATTTTTACCGTTTGTTCTAGAACATTGACCACAACATCTCTCTCTTCCAAAGTTGTCATGACCTTATCATTGGTTTCCCCAAAATAGAAAGATTAGAGCAAAAGAATATGTTGCAGTTCCTTTCAGATTATTGAGATGTGAAGAAGTCATTGAAATTCACCATTAGTGTATGTGGCAATTTTTTCACTAATAAAACCTGTTGGGAAACTATCTTACTGTGACATAAATCTGATTTACATCTTAAGTACATTATTACTATAATTCATCAGAATAATGTAAGGTTAGGGAGATGCTAAACCTAGTTAGTATTGGCTCATTGCATATGTGTCCGAATAATAATTAATATAGCCATTTTATGTCTCTATATATGTGTGAGAACAAAGACAAACCCAGTAAAATCCTAGAGAGGGCGAGTGTACATAGGTAAGCAGACCTTACCCTATTTAAAAAGTAGAGAGGTTGTTTCCAAGCTAGTGTATATGTGTAAAAATATGTATAAAATAGGGCCATTATCTGTGATTGTATATGTGTAAGTGTGTATTTACAACAAACCCAATAAATTCCATGGTGTGTGGGGAGGGGGGGGGGAGTGTACACAAACCTTACCCCCTGCGTGAAAAATAGAGAGCTTGTTTCTACGTCACTGTATATGTGTAAAGGAGTACAAATTGGGCCATTGTATTATTTGTATATGTGTAACTGTGTGGGAATACAAAAAGAAAACAATTTACATGCGTGGGAATAAGGACTGTTTCTACCCTTGTTCATCTCACATCTCTCCAAGTTTATCCCAAATCGAGAGGTCAATTGCTCATTTTTCAAAAAGTTTGATGGCATATTTGACCCGTCACTCTTCTATTGTTCACTACATGCTCTTCTATATTTTAGTGGCGCTTTTTCTTTATTATTTCTGGCCACATAGGCTATAGTGTCTACATGGGACTATGGAAGAATACTATCTGTGGATTGAATCATGTGGTTTGCAAGTGTACAGTTAATGTTGAATTTTCCTGTTTTATCTTATCTTCTTGTAGATCGCTTGGAGGAGAACGAATTGGCACACGAAGCATTTGGTTGCAGGGTGTTTTCATTGCGCCATGAATGTACACACTTACCTGGCATTGTTTCATCATAACGTTTTCTGCTGTATGTAGATTTTGCCGTTTTGTTCATATTTACTGGTGGGGGAAGCAGCATATGTAGTTTCTTCTCCAGACCCCATTTTGAAGGTATTGATAAATGATAAATATCCTATCTTATCCCATTTTGTAATCCCTTCACTTAGAGGATACCTACTTTGTTCCTTATCTTTTTTTGCTTTTGGTTTTTACCTTTTACATAACCGAGGGAGCATGTTTATTTGTATGGGGATCCTCGAGACAGAAGAAGTTACATGCTTCATGTAATATTCATATGAATGAACATGGGCACATGGCACATGTTAAAACTCATGTCAATATGTCTTACTAATCCTCGAGACAGAAGAAGTTACATGTTACATGTTAAATTGCCTCTTATGATTTATGATATTTGAGTAAAATTATTTTTAAATTAATTTTTTTAACTTAGAAATACAAAATAAAAATTATATATATTTAAAAACTATATAAAAAGTTTTATGAATCAAGAGATGACATAGTTATATTATTCTATCAATTGAGTAATAGTCCACTCTATTTATGGTAAATTACCAATTTTACCAATAAGCACAAAATAGAGAACTTAGATACAAGACAATTTTTAAAGGTACATTTGTTCATTTAACATAAAAAGAGTAGATTTACTAATATAAAAAGTGTAGATTTAGCTATACCATTTTAATTATTACAGTAATTGATTTATATTTTCCTACTTAGGGAGGCATTTCATTTTGGTTGTAGCACATTTTGAGTTTGAAATATAATACTTTGTACTATCTTTGTCTCAAACTAGATGAACTTTGATTATCAACTAAAGAAAACTTTGATGTCAATTAAATAGATACTCGTAGTATATATTAGTACAAAAATAATTATATTACTCTCTTCATCCATAAATTTTCTTCACATTTGACTTTTCATAGTCTCCAATACAACACTTTGACCCTTAATATTTTTATTTTTATATAGCTATACATTATAAAAATATAATATTTCAAAAGGATAATTAAAAAAATCTATTGATATTTAATTTATATAAAAATTCAATGTACTTTTTCCATAATTTGTCTTACATAAAACTTTCAAAAGCTTATTAAATTGTACAACCATGCAATCTATTTTTATGTAATTAATTATTAGAATTCATCATTTTTTCGTTCAAAAAAGTTAATTGGACAAATACTTTGGAACAAGTGTTTACTCTTGACCTTAGTCATTGCTAAATGTGTAAAAAAATTTAAAGTACTTGTGAGCTTATTAAATAGTTAAGATAAATTATTTATCGTAATTGTTTAATAAAATCATCCTTTCGTCTTGCTATGACGAGTCGTATAGAGTGCAAAAAGTAGAGAGGTTGCTTGTCTCAAAAAATCGTATAACCAAAATATTAACTTGTAATGTAGGTTGCTACGACATCTAGCGTGGATGTTGTGTCATCACAAAGTACAAACCTTGGCGAAGTCACTATTGTTCACTATTGTTATGGCACACTTAAAATAACAAGGCAGTCGCCGGGTGCGTGCTCATTGCAAGACATGGAAGGCTTCTACTTTTTCCCATTAAGGGTCATCAAACAAGGGGTTGTGTCTAAATTTGTTCATTTGATAATAATCACTACTTAGACTGTGTTTGGTAAGACATATTGACATGAGCTTTAACATCTCCAATTCAAGTTCTTAGAATTAGTGTTTGGAGAATGAAAAACTGGTTCTACTTTCAAGTCTAGAGATACTACGAAAACCTTCCCGTTAGCCTGTGTTTTGAAGTCTGCCCTAATCGACACATATCAAATATTAAAACCTCTCGATCTAACAAACCATCGTGTCACTCTTCTTTAAGCATCCAGGGCTACCTGTGTCTTTTTCTCCACCCTCCATCTTCACAAAATTGAATGTTAACAGACAGCTACTGAATGCACATGTTGGAAGCTTCCTGAGCTTAACTGCTTTACTCTTTTCAACTATCTATGCAGTGCTAACATGGCCTTTACATAAAAAGCAACTAGTGAGAGAATGAATAGTGCAATTTGGAGTGCCAATATGAAAAATTGGAGTGCAAATATCATTTCCACTAAATTACCAGGTTCAACTTAGCTTCTACCCGTTGTCGGCCTAGGATTCTTTTTGAAGCCTGCGGGTTAATCTCCCGAGATCGGCTGATGAAAGAATGTGGATACTTGCATTCTTCTCAAGCCATGCTCATGTCAGATATAGCTTTCAATTTCCAACGAGGAATCCAGGATTTAAAACCAAGTAATATGGCATAATAGCCTAATCATGTTCTGATTTTTTGTCCACCAACGAATCATCTGCTGCATCACTATCCAGCACTCTACTGCTTGAGAGAAATTGCCAGGGTCCAGTTCTTGTGCCCAGTCTGTTATCAGCAGTTTACTTAGCAAACAGACTGATATGAATTACCAGTACTTTAATAACAGCAGACTAAAGTGGAGAGTAAATTTTTACATGATATGCAGTTACAACAACAGGGAAAACAACAATATTTAGGTTACCGGAACAGCAGATTTTAATAACTGAACTAAGGAAAAGGCAAAAAGGAGGCATATATTGGAAACAAATGAATAAGGAAATGTGTTGGTGTGTCATGCATCGCTTTTGGATAACGAAAAGCAAATATGAGAGAGAGAGAGAGATCGGTGCACCTTAGACATCCAGCTAGCACACGCAAAGCCATGAGGAGAAAAAGTCCTGCCCAAACTCCAGCAAGACCAAACATGGGAGTAGCCACCAATAAGAAAATGGAGGAGATCAATCCAATGAGTAACTGCTCATCACGAGTAAAAGATAATGTTAGATAAGGAAAACAGCAACAAATGTGTGGTGAGAACAAAAGGCAATAATACCATACCATTGAGTAGGCAGCAAATTCGAAGTCTGAGACCCCGTAATATAGGCCATCAAGAACAAAAGCAATTGCATTCACTGGTTGAGATACGGCAACAAACTAAAGCAAATTGGGAAAAGGAATAAAGAATGGGTTACGGTAACATCATGTGGTTACTTGCAGATGGATCCTTTATTGGACATAAATCTTTAGAAATACATGGTATCAATAAGACTTTAATGTTTTGTGAAATATCAGCTATTCAGCACTACCAAGTATGTGAAATGAACAGAAGAGGAAAGAGAGTTTTTACAACTAAGCTCATTGTGAAGATGAAATGTGTAATGATTCGGGTTTTACAGAGAAATAATTTCATTTTCTTATGTTTATAAGTTAGCATGCACCAGAAGTTCATCCTTACCAAAGTGCCATATCTTGCAATTTCTAGGACCTTGGAGTCTGAGCTGAATAAGCTAGTCAATGCTCCAAACCACAGGAGCAAGCACACGCCCAAGGTTGCTCCGGTTGCAATACCAATCTAATAAAAATAAAATTTCAAAAATGGCACACGCAAACAATAATTACTTGTAAAGCTAGAAAAAAGCAGTATTACACCACGAAACTGCAAACCTGCAAGACTTTATAAACCACTTCACGTGCCCGGCTATAGTTACCTTGAGAGTAATCACTGGCAAGGAGAGCCTTAAAAAAAGTGAGAGTTAAATAAAAATGATAATGAAAAAGAAAACATGACTGTAATTTAAAATGTAGAGATTCATAATGTACTGACAGATGGCTATACACTTTAATTATTCAGCTAAATCCAGCAACTGTGAACAGTACTGTTACATATTAGTAGAAGGCCAGAAAAATTTACTTGTCCTGCCAGAGCTAAAGCATCCGTAAGCATGGACAATGCTAACCAAACTTGGAAACAAATTTGATGGCCAGCCATAGATATTGGACCATCTCTGGCAGCCAGGGATGTTGCTAGTGTAGTGGTTACAAACACTGCTAATGTTCTTCCAGTAAGTAGAGCACCTGAAACATAGAAATTTAGTTATTCAAGAGACGTATCATAGACCATCAGTTTCTATAAATTCATGTGAATCTATGCAACTAGGGATTACATGACGGATTTCAACCAAATTAGGGATCACTCCTAACGAATACCACTTGCACAAAATTAAAGAGACGAAAGAATATGCTCAAGTTGTTCTCCAAAACCGGATCCTACATTATAATCTTGGGGGAGATCTTTATTGGCTGGGTAGGTTTGCCTAATATATCCCAAATCAGATCTGACTTCCCCGTGATCTGATTGAGTTGAATACGGAACCTCCAAATCCTTCCCTCCAATGTAACAGACCCTAGCCGCCGAGCTGTCCCCCTAGGTCATGCACCTGATGGTTAATCCTGCTCAACCCACCCATCTTACTCATAGGTTTTTGTTTGGCCTTAGGCCGTGGGACTGGGCCTCTTACTCCTAGGCCGGCAGGTATATCGGGCTTACCATTACTTCATCAATATCTAACCCAGCACAATATACCCATCATTACACTTGTACAACAAATAATCAAGCAACAACAACAACAACAACCCAGTAGAATCCCACAAAAGCAGGGTCTGGGGAGGGTGTGTGTACGCAAACCTTACCCCCACTAAAAGTAGAGAGGCTGCTTCCAAGAGACCCCCAACTAAAGCAGCACAAAAATCAGGTAGCACGACAATAGGACAGAGTACACAAAGGCATAAGGTACCTAGCCAACTGGAAGAAGAAATACGTTAAGCCAACACAAAAAACAATACGAACAAAACTAGCACCCTTGACTAAACGACTACCCAACTACTCTAATCCTAGATCTCCAGATGTCCCTATCTAAGGTCATATCCTCGGTAAGATCCAATTGTCCTAAGTCCTGCCTAACTACCTCCTTCCAATTCTTCCTAGGTCTACCCCTACCCCCAAACCCTCCAACTATCGAAAGCCTCTTGCATCTCCGCATAGGGCCTCAGGTGCACGACTTTTCACATGACCAAACAATCTCAACCTAACCTCTCGAAGCTTATCCTCCACCGGTGCCACTCCCACCCGTCTCTGAATAACCTCATTCCAAATCCTATCCAACCTTGTTTGCCTACACATCCACCGTAGCATCCGCATTTTTGCTACATGTAGTTGACGAATGTGGACTTTCTTAACTGGCCATCATTCCACACCATAAAGCATTGCCGGTCTGACATCTTTTCTGAAATCTTTTTATCACATAGAACCCTTGATGCCAATTTCCACTTTGCCCACGCAGCTCCGATACGGTGAACAACATCCCCATTGATCTCTCAATCCACCTGAATAACCGAACCAAGATATCGGGATTTAACGCTCTTAGGCACTAGGTGTGAATCAATCTTAACTTCCACCTCTCTCACCCAACCACTAAAACCACATTCCAGGTACTCAGTCTTAGTCCTGCTCAATGTGAAACCCTTGAATTCTAAAGACTGACGCCACACCTCTAACTTGTCATTGAGTCCCTCACGCGTCTTGTCGATCAAAAAAATATCATCAGCAAAAAACATGCACCAAGGAACCTCCTCCCAAATACCACACGAGAGAACATCCATAACCACAACAAAAAGCTAGGGGTTAAGGGCATACCCCTGGTGTAACCTCACCTTAACAGGAAACGGGTCAGAATCACCCCTTACAGTCCTAACTCTAGTGCTTGCCCCGACATACATATCTTTTATTGCCCGAATGTATGCAATTGGAACCCCTCTAGCCTCAAGACATCTCCACAAGATCTCTCTTGGTACCATGTCATACACCTCGAAATCAATGAACACCATGTGAAGATCCTTCGTCTTAGCTCCATACTCCTCCATCAACCTTCGCAGGAGATGGATAGCCTTTGTGGTCGAGCGGGCAGGCATAAAGCCAAATTGGTTCTCAGAAATACATACCACCTTTTGCAACCGAGCCTCTATGATACGCTCCCATGGTATGGCTAAGAAGTTTGATGCCTCTATAGTTATCGCGACTCTAGATATCAAGCATAAAAAGTCAATATTTTAAACTGATAGTCATGGCAAGACTTCATCCGGTGGACCAAACAACATAACCACGAGTTGAACAGGGTTAATATCACATTTGTAAATAATTATATTATAATCTAGAATGACCCAATTTAAATGTATGAATGTTTCAATCCAGATTATCCATATAACATAATTCTTAAAAGTTACCGGATTTAAGATATCGAATAACTCTTCCACCATTAACTTCTGGAGCGATAAGAATGACCCTGTCATTTAACTTGAAAAGCAGGATGAAAGCAATCAAGTACCTGATAAAAAGAATGTGGCGGTCCATAAAAATGGGTAAGATAGACAAGGTAATGTCTCAGAAATATGTAAATATTATATCCAAAATAATTACATAATTATTTTCAAAGCATTATAGACGTACTCAGAAATCACAGTAGAAATTGCAGCACCACTGATGCCAAAACCAAAGGAAAACATCAACAGAGGACTCATTATAGCATTTAGCAAGTTACCAGCACCTGTAACACCAAGAGAATTTTTTTTGACCAACGGATATAGTATAAATGCTATAGCTTCTTTGGTTACTTGACTACTTGAGGTTTTCATGCTAAGATGGTTTTACTTAATGACTTAATACTCTTTATAGAAAAAATTTAGGAATTAGCAATACTTGCCAACTGCATATAGAGGTGTCTTTGTATCCTTGAACCCACGAAAAGTTCCCTGAGTGGCAAGTGCTATTACAATTGCTGGAGCACCAAATGCCCTCATTGTAAGAAACTGCTCAGCAGGTGTGCGCATTGGTGAATCCTATTACATTGTAGCTCATTAATTCCAACAGCGCAAACTCCAAAAACTTCTTAAATACTCCGTAACTAAGTATGGCATACGATGAATATCCCTATAGTTTAACACCCGTCCCCGCCGAAAGGGGGAAAAACTGCATGTCAGCACTCAGCATGTCACACATTATTTCCCCAAACACGAAAAGACTTGTGCTTATTTTACATATGCTCTCATACAATGTTTCCTTTGATTATTACTTCGTATGAAGCGTTTGATAGTAAATGCAGCCATCATCAAGGGTCTAAGGCAAACAGTCTGTTTTTTTCATGGGTGCTCACATCTTGACCCCTAGTCCCCAATAGAGATGAGATTATAATGGATTTGATGTTATTGTCTAAAAAAAGCCAACACGTGTGTGCGTAAACGTGAAATGATCTGTTAATCAGGAATCCAAGATAGTGTATTAGCATTCTCAAGGCTTGGAAATAGAGGTTCTGTTAATCAGGAACCCAAGATAGTGTATTAGCATTCTTGAGGCTTGGAAATAGAGGTTGAGGACAAAAAACAAGTATGTTAGAAAAAATACTCCACATACAGCAATTATACCCATTGTATCCATCAGAAAACTGGAGCCAAGACAAACTGCAATCGCTTCTGCAATGCCAAGGCCAGTGGCAAGTGCTAATGAAGTTGATACAGATGGCAGAATAATCTTGCTCTGTTGAGCAGCCCCATCATCTACACAAACAACCATAAGCCAAGCCACATGAGTTGATTCCAATGTCATTCCAAATGTAAAATATTGCATCTCAAAAAACATGAAATAGACATTAATAAAACTAAATAATACACAGACAAAAATAATACTGTAATACAGAGAAAGGAACCACCATTGTATGTATTACCATGCACATTAGAATCATTGCTGAGTTGTGCCTGCTCTTCAGCTACAAATGACGTTGTAACATTGAGGAGAGAAACATTGAACAACTTTGACACAAAGTTGAACACTGATGCTGCAACCCCCGCTGCTGCCAATTCAACCGATCCTACAGAACTGCAGGGCATCAATTTCATGGAAAATATGCCCATTGCTTATACTTATGCAAGCTAAATGCTAAACCATTGAGGGATTTTGTCTTACAATGTCATCAATGAAAATTTTCACACACATTTACATCAATGGAGCAAAACAACCCAAAGGTAACTTAGCATCTTTAGCAAAAAGATTTTTACTTACATTGCTCTCAATAAACACATTTGTATCAGCGGGTAAAAATTATCACAAATCAAAATCTTTAACGAACAGAAGTACCTAAATGGCCAATGAATGCGGTATCAACTAGAGAAGCAATGGGGTCGGCAGCCAGAGCCAATGCAGCAGGAAACGCAATAGATAAAATCTCCCAAACCAGTCCATCAACTTTAAATCCCTTTCTGCAATTTTTTTTTGCAGATAGAACAATAAACAAGAAAATGCGAGTGAGTAACACCCTAAAATAAAACCCAGAAGCCTATATCTGATGAAGGATGTTAGCGAGAAAAGGGTACAACATGGGAGAGCTCGAGTTCCAAAGAGGAGGCCCGGGCGGAGGATGCGGGTCGGGTTCGCTGATCTGGGTATCCAAAATCGGAGAAGAATCTTGAGCTGCTTTGTCCCGCTGAGCGCCAGTGATGTTTTTGGGAGAGGGTTTGGCAGCAGTTCTAATGCAAAGTGAAAGCTTAGGGTTCCGAAGGTTGGGATGAGCGAAAGCAGAGGAAGAGAAGCAGTAGTTTGAGCTAAGAAGTGACCGCGTCAAGCCATGGCTGTAGCGGTGAGGTGTGGTAGTAGCCATGGTATGTATCGCTCCTCCACGGATGCAAAATCTGGCCTGGGCGCTGGAAATCAATCATACTCCTTATTACGGAGTATCAAGAGTCAAGACTAAGCTACATGTACCTAAAATTTACTCCGTATATTATATTTATATATCAAAAGTATGCATTATTATTTTAATGGTTTACACTGATACAAAGTGGTACATTAACAAAAATTTACACTGATACAAAATGCTGGTGCATTAACAAAAATTAGAATTACACCAACATAAAATATTGGTGCATCCCTGTAGTGTACAAAATGGAGTACAAATTTTTGGGTACAAATAACTTTATCTTAAGAATAAACCTAGTTACTAAGGTTACACTAACGTCACTAAGCAAACACAGACAAACACAGACACTTAATGTCTGTGAATCACATACACTGCAAATTATATTATACAACTGGTTGTACCCAAAGTTAGGTACAACCGGCAAAAGACGCGAGGAGAACCGAAAATTTTGGACTAGGCACCGTTGAAGGGAGTGCAACAAAAATCAAAGGAGATACTCTGTAGATCAGTCCGTTTGAAGAAGATCCACTGACCGGCGAAAGAGAGGCACACTGATAACAAAGAGGAGGTGCTGGAGGATGGATGAAAAACCCAGGAAGAAGAGTTACTCTGTCCGATCAAGGAAGAAAGGTGCTCTAGAGGATGGATGAAAAACCCTAGCGTTGTGTGGTCGAGTAGGGTAGGAGAGAAAGAAAGCTATTAATTATGGTATGAATTTTATTTTGCTTCAGAATGAACACTAACACTACTACAAAAACGACCAAATAAATCACCTTATTTGCACCAGTCAGTGAAATAATCAATTTAAAAGCCAAAAAAAATCGACAAATGCTTAGCATTAGAATCAGTTATTCTTAATAACTGATTCAAAAGGTTATTTGAATAAGTTATTAAGAATAACTGATTCAAAAGGTTTATAAAGCTTTTGCATCAGTTATTCCTAATAACCAATTCAAATAACTTTTGGAATCAGTTATTAGGAATAACCGATTCAAAAGTCTATAAACCTTTTGAATCGGTTATTCCTAATAACAGATTCAAATAACCTTTTGAATCGGTTATTGGGAATAACTGATTCAAAAGAGGATGTTAAAGACAACCTCCAATACCTTATCCTTACGCGAATTTGAGAAAAAAAAATCTCCAAACGATTTTTCGTCGTGCTTGATGTGCTCCTAGCCTCGCCGTTTCCGTTGCTTAATGTCGTCATCGCCGTGCTTCCGCCAATTCCATGCTTATAGCCTCATCGTCTTTTGCCTCGCTGTCATCGTGCTTGCTGTGCCTCGTCGTGCCTCCCGTCGTTGTCCCTCACCTCCTTTAACTCGTCGTGCCTTCCCCGGTCGCTACCTCGCTGTGCCTTCGTCATGCCGTGCCTTCCCCTGTAACTCGTCGTCGTTGTCACCGGTCTCTACCCCCGTCGTGCCTTGCTCGCCTATTTTAAGGTATTTTTTTATTTTTCACTTTAAATCTTTAATTATTCTATTATATATTTATATATTTTTGCATTATGTGAATTATTTTTCCAAGTAGATAATATAATTCTAAATCTATTTCAATGTATTTACTTTAATTACTATATATTTGAATTTCTTTTATGTTTATGTTTAAGTTGAAATGTGACATTGTGATATAGCTTGCGCTTGAAATATAGATTGTTTAATTACTTTTTGTTTGTATCTACATGATCTCAAATATTATAATATAGAAATAACATATATTGACCAACCTAGATACCCATTTAAAATTTACTAATTAGAAGTAAATTTTAAATAGCTCCCAGTTTGGAGCTGTTGTTGAAATGCTTCCCTCACTTAGGTAGTGAATGCATTTCTTTTTCTTTGTTCTGTCATTTTTTGGTTTGACGTTTCTTAAATATGTTACATCGTGCACGTGGAGAACCATTGGGAAATGCTGCCAAAATTTTGATAGCTCAAAGAAAATGAAATACATTTACTAGTGAGGGTGGCATTTCAAGAATGGGTTAGGATGGTGTAAAGAAGGACCATTTGTATAATGAAGAATTGTTATCGGATTTTTGTTACATCATAAGAAATAAGATATTGTGTTGCCTGTATTTCTTATATGTTTGTGTGTATATATAAAATGAGTGTTAATAATTTTGTTGTGCATTGTTTTGTATCAACCGTAAAAGATGTTGTTGACCAGAGCTTGTATGCTTCTTTTGGGCCGAGGTGCAGAGAGTTATGTTTGTGGCTTACACGCACATCTGCTTTGCCTACCATCAGCATCATTCTCAATCCCGAGTGCATGCTCTATCCGGAGGAGACGGAGCTGAGGATGCGCCCGGAGAATATACGTGAGTTCATGCGATGGGAGGAGGTCAATCAGACCATCATCACTATTTTCTTGAGGTATGCCAAGCACTACGTACGAATAAAATGCAATCATGTTCTAATTGTACAAGAGTTTATGTGATGTATGTTATAATTATTTGTTATAATTGTAATTATTATTTACCTATTAAATAACTAGATTGTTGCACAATCATATGATGGAGCATTACATCACAACTGTCGGGTTGTTATGTCCGGAGAACATGGCGTACATGGTAGATTATGGAGATCGCCAGTATCTGGATAGAGCACTCGAGTCCTATCAATCGCGACCCTGGATACTTATGCCGTTATATGTATCAAAACCGTATGTTTTCTAAACCATTTCCAATATGTATTCCAATTTTTTATATTGATTATGAAGCTAATGACTAACGCTTTTTCAATTGTAGGCATCATTGGGTGTTAGTTGTAATACGTTTGTTTGAAAACAAAGTGTATTTCTTTAACTCAACTAAGGCGACCGGAGGGTATAAGCAAATAAAAGTGAAGACTTTCGTCAACGAGTAAGTATTAAGAAATTTATTTCTTATTAATGAAATTCTTTATTTGTTAAGAAATTTATTTCTTATTGATTTGTTTTTTACCTGTATTAAAGTTCTTGGCGGTTACTTCGGGGATGACACATGCCCCTCAGCTTAAGGCTTGACCGGATTAGATTGATGTTCCGGAGTACCCCAACTACCAGGGGGTAGAGTGCGGATATTATACTATGCGATTTTTATGGCTCATCATCACTTTGTGTGCTCAGTATTCTTTACCGTTATACGATATAAGTTTATTTTACTGTCTTTTAAAACTAATAAAGTGTTCATCATCATTTTCTTTTTCATAGATTATTAAACTTTATGTTTGTCGTTTTCGTATTGCAGATATTTTAGTCTACTTCGCCTTATACCGTAGCCGAATTAGACGAGGTTAGAGAGTTTTGGGCGGGGGGTTTTCTTGATGAACTAATGTAAGTTTTGTGTTGCATTGTATAGTATTAGTTGTTTGACTTTAAGAAGAGTGTAGTTTATTTGTTGTATGACTCTCAGTTGTAGTGTTATAGCTTAGCTTGTAAATGTTGTTATTTTTTAGATGAACAAGTGATGGATGCAAATGTTTATTTTTTTGGTTTAATTTGTTTTGTTTAATTTGGTTTTGTGAATATATTTGTGTTGTTGGGTTGTGTTTGTAGCTGTTGTTGTGTTGTGTTTTGTTGTTGGTTATGTAAATTTTGCACAGAATTCTATACAAACTTGCAATTGTGGTGGATTGTAAGCAAACAAACAGCTATGTAAAAAAAATTATTATTTGCATCAGTTATTAGCTAACAACCGATGCAAAAAGACCTTTCTCCAGAACTGGGAAGGAGCATTATTTGAATCGGTTGTTTGCTAACAACCGATTCAAATGCTCCCTTCCCATTTCTGGGAAGGATCATTTGAATCGGTTTTTAGCAAACAACCGATTCAAATGCTATTTCCCATAAATGGGAAAGGAGCATTGGCATCGGTTGTTAGCAAACAACCAATTCAAAAGCCCCTTCCCAGAATTGGTGCCACCTCTAGGAAGAAGCATTTGAATCGGTTGTTAGCAAACACCGATGCAAATGCTCCTTCCCAGAAGTGGCGCCAATTCTGGGAAGAGGCATTTGAATCGGTTGTTAGCTAACAACCGATTCAAATGCTCCTTCCTAGAGGTGGCGCCAATTCTGGGAAGGGGCTTTTGAATTGGTTTAACAACCGATGCAAATAGTTACTTCAGCATTTGCATCGCTAGCTTTTGCATCGGATGACAACCGATTTAAAAAGATAAAAATAACTGATTCAAAAGACCTTTTTTGTAGTAGTGTAAGTTATTTGAGAATGGGTATTGTTTTTCTAAGAATGAACACTACGCTATTTGTTATAATTATATTAGACAAATGTATAAAAATGAGTACTTTGTTTTAAAATGAGTACTACTTTATTTTAGAATGAGTACTACGTATTTCGAAATGAATATTTATATTTGTACGAGAATGAGTACTAAGTTACTTCAGAATGAGTACTAACCAGATGTACATATCTCTAGCTTCAGCCCAAGTGCCCAACCTATCTAATTCTTTCGTAGCATCGTTGGCCCAATTCATTTTTATATGGACCAACCTTCTTTATCTCACGTGGGCTGGATCTCCCAATCTCATGAGCCCTTGTTTGGGTTTCCGAGCACATCTCAATTCCAGCCCATTATTTATGGATCAGGTTTCCATCAAAATATAAGTATATAATCAAAATTAGATTAAAACCAATCAGATCGGGTGAAGAAAACATGTCTGTATTTGATGAAATTAATAGATAATAGATTTTGTGTTTTTAATCAAGTATACTTAGTTAACATCAATTGATGGTCAAAAAACATTTTGCCAAAAATGTTTACAACTTGTTTGGCTGGTCTAAGACAGAGGTAAAATGGAACGTACCCGCTTGTGTCTCTATGTTCTAATAATGCTGCATATTTAACCAATAAACCCCAATATGGCCAATAATTAGGTTTGTGAATTCATCGGCAGGGAAAAACATAAACAGCTAAGGGCAGCCTAATGCTTAAGCTAAGACTTGAAAGGGATTTTTAGAACAGAGAGCATTTCTGCTAGACTCAAGAATGTGAATGAAGGCGCTAATTTCAATATATCTGAATCCCTTTCATATTCAAACACGTTGGAACGTTAATAAGACTGTCTTACAAAGTGGTATTCACTATAAAATTCATATATGCAGCCACATTCATTGAGATGTGCATACGTTCAAAATTTCAAACTTCACTTTGAAAATGAACCCAGCTGCAAAAAAAAATTACTTACAAATCATGGCTTAGCTTATAAGAACTGAAACAATAGTTCGTTCCAAACATCGGGAACACCAGGCAGGCACCAGTGTACACAATCCGAGTAACTT